ATGATATCCACAGCATTCTGGCCGACTGCCCAATACCTAGAGGGTCGTTTTCACTTCATGATCCTCCTTCAGCCTGTAGCGTCATTCGATTTCATCCCGACGACGCTTGATACGCTTCTCGATATTCGTCGGTCCGGCCGATTCCAGCGTCCACGCTTTTCTTGGGACTATCAAACAGCATTGAATGGCTACGATGACGTGGAGGCGAATGATTTTTTAAGCGACGGCTTACCAATGTGTGCTTCCTGATGTTGGCTTCGATATTCCATACCTTTCTGACGTCATCACAACGACCTGCACGTTCACTCAGAGATCAAGGTACATTTATTTTATCTCCTGTCTAACGTCATTACCATTACAGTCCTGCACTGCTTATACACTCGTCGCGTAACCTGAACGATTATCTGACTCTCCTGATTCTCGTACACCTTACTCAACTGGTCTCCCAGGAGGACCAGTGCTCTGATCTATCTGTGTAGTGTCGCCAGGGCTAGTTGGGTCCCTTTGATTCGCTCCTAACCGGCATAAAAACGAATAGACGTCGAGCAGTGTTAGATACATCCTTTTGTTCCTACCGCTGGTTTTATAGGTACTGTGTTATAGAGGATATATATATATATAGCATGCACTGTACCGACCATACATAGCCCAGCTGTGTACACTATGGGATATTACCACGTGGCTATGCTGGCAAATTGAATGTTTCACGACATGGGTAGTTCAACTTTCATCCGGAGCTTAAGAGGGACATTGTACCTGGTCCCAGAATGAACTAACAGGACTCTCTCATAGTTCATCCGTGCGGTATAGAATGAGAATATCACAAATAAGCACAGCGAATCACCAAGTGGAATGCACGTTCGGTAATAGCGAATGCAAGCCGTTATCGTGTTCCTGGTTGAATCTATCGCAAAGACCCTTCCTCTCCATTACCCGTTCTTTCGAAAGTTCCCTTATCGATTTCGCCTAGTATACAAATCCCCTTCAGGTAACATTAGTCACTCCGCTCTTCTCGTAGTAGGTACTCTGGCTGTAGCCAAGGGGGATGGGCAGACCAGCCAGACTTCAGGACGGCTATAGAAATTCAAGCCACCCCGTGACGTCCTGCTCTACCTTCGAATCACCCTATACCCACTATACATACCTTCTCCATACCTATCCCACCCACCTATATCTACTTGTAAGCACTCCTGGTGACAGTTACAAACGATGCATTATCTAAGGATTGTACGAACCGGGCGGAAATAGTGAGCACCTGCGAGCTCTATTCGTCTCGGTGCGTTACGGCATCATGAACCCGTGTCAATGTGAACGCAATTTTCTCACGGATTCTTCTTTTTTTTTTTTTCACTTCCCTTCCCGAGGGACGCTTTTCCGATTGGAGGACCATTTTTTAATCTCGTGTCCTCTCGCAGCATCTTTTCAAGGGACACGAGGACCCACGACCTATATATATAATATCCATGCTCAGGAGGATCGCTGACGAGGCGGATTCACCTTCCTCCGGCACCTTCGGTCACTCCGCAAACGGATGAGGTCGATCGATCACGAATCCGGGACACCGTTAAGGCTTATTAAACTTCGTCGTTGCGGATCTCTCCCGAGAACAGGCACTCTTATGGGATGGGTATCTATAGGTATATACGTATATACGTGTATTATAGACGGAGACCACAGAGGCTTACTGACTCTCTTTCCGCAGCAGCAATGCACCGAGTAAATATAAGCGTGACGCGAATCTTGGCAGCAACTGCCGACGGTTCTACACCCACACTCCATCCATTACCGGGGCCGAACAGGTGTGCGTATTATTGCTACCAGCTACCCGCGGAATCCGCAACCGCTTCTCGACGAGTACCATGTACTTCTATTTTGTTGGACTGGACTTGAATTTGTCGCAGACATGCATATACGTTTAACTGGCGAGTTTCTAGAAATATTTACTGACTCGTATGCACCTATTGGCTATATCGACCCGGGATATGTTGATGAGGTAGGATTCACGGTACTTTGAGTTATATAGATATTAGTACACCTGGATATGAATAAATAATTAAATGTACTACGGGGCCAAGAACCGAAATCATTAATGGAAAAGTCATTAGCTTACGGTTGATCTTGTCTTTTTACAATCAATATTGAGTTAATGCTTTTTATTTGTTATTATATTCAGTATTGAGGTTACGTAATAAAATTTGTAAAACCTTGGGGGTATTTTTGTGTCTATCCTGAAGTTCGTGACGGATCATACCTCAGGAAAGAAGCTCTCCCACCCTCTTCTGAAACAAAAGTTTCACTATTAAATACTAATTTGGCCAAAACTCTCTCGGGTATTGGGATTTGTTCGGAATGGTAGACGCCCAAGCCCTAGATCCAATCCCTTCCTGCCTGCCTGTTCCCCGTGGACCTCATTGATCTTAGGGTTCAGATACCAGTAATTACTCTCGCATTGTTACCAATCTGCTAATCGATCGATAGCCGTAGTCGATGCTCTATTACGTTTCTGAAAGTGTTACCTAAGTCTTACCTAATCCGTGAGAACCAATTCGTTCTATATATATTTTTTTCTTTGTTCCCAGAGTCTTTTCTTGCTACAATTATTATTTTCTTTTTCTTTTTTTCCTATGCGTCACGCAAAGTCACTAATACGGACTCGCCAATGTCATAAGATCATCGGGCAATCATTGCAATCAATTCGATGCACGCAGCTGCCACGAATTAGGGATATTTCCTGCAAACAGGGGGACGAAGTCAGACGGTCGCTTGGGTTTACGCAATAAATATCGATCCCTTCTTTCCACGTGGTGCTACGATATAGCTAGACTACTATGCCGATAGGGGGATGCTAGGTGTACTGTCCAACCCTTCCATTATTGACGGACACCCTCGATGGGGATTGGTCACGGCACGTTCAAATCGATATCTTTATTACGAGAAGAGTGCGCTTCCCCGAAGGTATCGCATGGTCGATGGGGTATGAACCTTACAAAGGAAATAGCAAATCGGAAATGGAACATGGTATCTCCTAACTTTCTTTTAGGAAAAATCATTCCTTTATTGGAGTGTCGTTTTCCATATGGGACATTGCTATGTCTTTTCATCTTGCTTTTCTGTTATTGTGCTTTACTGTCATTTGACTAAAATGAAAGAAAAAAGTAGAAGAAAATCTCCAAAATCCAACGATCAATTTTCGAATTAAACCTTGTCGATTTAGTAAATTTTCCATTCCTCCATGATACAAAAGAACCGAGTCGAGATGGCGCATGATGTCGTCGAAATCCATGCCGCAGGCCGTGGATTATCTCTTTCCGATAGGAGCCTATGAAAACAGCTGAAGAAAATACTTATTTGAATATATAGGAAACACTAGGAAACAATAGGCGTATCCATTTATCGACTATAGGTTCTGCTTGTATACCTATACTGTACTATACTTATTCTTACATTCTAACTCCTTTGTATATTTGTCCTGTTGTGGATTTACCTTTCGACCCCTAGAAACTCGCGTGTCTGCTTGCCTGCCTGCTTTTATTCCTTACGGTCATTTCATCTTCTCTCAGGGATAACCGTGGTGTTTTGGAAAAGACATATTTCCGACAGTGTCTTCGCTCGTCTTCGTATGCGATACGTGCTTGTTGCCTTGTGCAATATGAGTTTGTTTCCCTAATCCTGAAGCCATTCCGAGCTTTCCGAACGATACCTCGCGATAACAACGATATCGGGAAGTCGGAACGTCGACGGCTCAGCAGTTTTGATCAACCGATAGAAATATTTAATCGCGACGTGAAACAAATTACGAGGTGGTCTTTGATACGGAAGGTCTGTAGCTCTTGTGGCTTTTGAGTTGTTCCGTTGGGCGACGTAAAATATAGAGAGTGGAAGAAGAAACAGCAGCAAAGAAACCTTATTAAAACGTATTTGAAAGAGCACGAACGCCACAGTGAGACTGTTTGCGACTGCGCGAGAGGAAAAGATGTTATGAATATTAAGAGGTTACGAGGCGCTGCCTGATATGACGGATATCCCACCGCAGAATTGATTCCCATAAAACGACGATCAACTTCTACCTCGTTATATGAACGTTGAGCTAGTTCGCGTTTTCCTTCGCGGCATCTACTTTCCGTTGGAGTATCGCCTTGAAAATTCATCGCGTCGTTCCTGCCAATGTAGGAGCTAAAAAAAATTCCAAAACGAACGGAACTTTGCGCTGAATGAAAAATCACGACTAAGAGGTGACTGTACCTACGTTAGATACGTACCTGTACTACACTTACGTGGATACATCCTTATACGCTATCTAACATGAGTAGCTTGTCGAACAAAATGAAAGGCTGAACTATCTCCTATGCTAAGGCAACTTCAACGTCCCTTTGCCGTGCGCTCATAGCTGAGTTAATTAACGTCACGAGTCGAACTTTGGTGCCAGTCGAAGCAGTCGTTGGATCAAAGCGTGTCGCCGAAGGGAGAGGCACTCCTGGCGTAATTAGAACGTACGAAAAACATTCCAGGACGGGACGTTCTCGATTTCCTCTTCGCTCTTGTACTTTCTCCTTCCATTGTACCTGCATCCCTTTTACTCTGTCTCCCTCTCCCTCTTTATTTCCAGGACCCCTACACCTTCTACTCTGTTCCATATACTTACTCACCCTCCTTTCATTTCCCACCCTCTCGTCATCATCTCCCAACCCTATAGATATTCTCCTTCGTGGTCAGTACGATACATGCCGGCAGTCTGCAAGCCGATATCAGATCGTCATCCGACGTCGACGAGACTTTGGGGGAAACTGGCAGTATTTCCTGCTCGGTAGAGCTAGGCGTCCCTCAGAAGCATCCTCAACGTGCGCGACGGTTGCGTCTCTACGTTGGCTCTGCGTTGCCTTGCGTTGCGCTATGGGCCACGAGCTACGAGCTACGAGCCACGAGCCACGGGGGTGGTGCGGAACTTGGTGGTGGGGACGGTTAAAGCCAGCGGGGGCGGACAGGCGCTCGGCGCCGATTCCGCTCCTCAGTCGACGTCAAGCCGTCGCGACGTCTACCTATTCCCATTGTCACATACTCCAAAGCCTTCGAAATCGCGTGTTTCGAACGCCAGCCGAGCGTGCCCACCACCTGTTCGCGACAGTGTGCTCTTCAGTTGGTTAAACTATCTTTCCGCTGGAATACCAGGAATGTGTTGGGTTTCAACGTAATTAAAACACTCTAAACATTACGGACTGTACGTTAAATATAATACATTACACTCGCGGTGCGGTCAGACCTTACGATAATACACGCGGAAACCGCGATAACCTTCGTACGATTAACGTCACTTCACGTCGTTGCACTACTTCGACGATCTAACGTGGTGGCTTCGTCGTGCTATTTGGATTATTGTATTAACGTTTTCTCGAGGATGATTCCAAATACGAGAATCCTCGTATGGGAATCCCTCATGACGATCAGACACTGACAGTGCTTCAGGGTATAAAAGGTACCGCACGCCACTGGTACCGCGTGTGCTAAAGTTCAACGTGGTGGGAAGCAGTGAAGGACTGGTGTATTGTTTTGTGCGATCTATCACATATTGGATTATGATTTTTGGGTAGGTACTTTTTTTTTACGTTTTGCTTGGTACGCTAAACAAGGAGGCTCAAGTCATGCGATCTGCTCAAGAACGTTTAACAATACTCGATCGTCAGTGATAGATTTCAAATCCCAATGCCTGTGCGTGAGAGAACGCAATCGTGTAGGAAATATAAATAATATAGAATGTCACATGGCAAATGAGTATATTGCGATTATTTATACGAATCCTTATAGATACGAAATTCTCGATCGACGTACCAACGACGACTTTTGCCTTTCGCTCGGACTTTATCGCTTCTGCAGTGTTACGAGTTTTTTTTGTTGTTTTGTTTACCGTCGCAGTCAATAAGAAATCCCATTTCGCCATGTAGAGACGTTATTACGCATGCAATCGACCATACGATCGGCTTGCGTAGTTTGTTTTAGCCTTCGGTCGAGCAAGAAAGACGTTTGTCATGAATCGCGTTATGCGAAGTGCCATATTCATTGGACCGTTTTGCAATATGTCACGAGGTGTATTCTTTGTCTTTATATAATGCACACAGCAGAGTCTGCCGTCGTAACGCCAATAAGAAAAACCTTTGTTTCCTTCGAAGAATCGATGATACTGTTATAACTAACGAAATATATATGTACGTATCAACACGTTCCGGCACCTTACCTCAAAATAAATACCTACAAGTACTCGCTTCACGAAACGAGTCTCTGGTTCTGCAGTCGTTACTCGATAAACCGAGTAGATCGCTATCAATTCTTGGCTGCAAGGTAATATCAGTATTTGATGCTCCATTGCGAAGGAATTACAAGCCGTTGACACAGCTGGTCACGACTCTTCGTAAAATCCCATTAGAGCACGTGGCATTTAGATCGTCATATTTTGCTATACGAAGAAACGAATGAGAAAAGCGGTCTGAGCTCACTGCTAGTCTGCCATTATTGATGACCAACCATTTGGTAAGTTGTCGTCGTTTACGGATATACATATATACCTATATGTACTCCGCGTACTATATGTATATATTTAGCTATACTTCCTCGAGATTCGACGAAAGACAGTATTTTCTTGTTGAAAGGTAAAAGATATCAAACGGTATAGCTGAAACATGACGGGTGCTTGAGCTTAAATGAGAGTGTAGGAAAATAAGTGGAGACCCGAAGTTTACGATTTGACCGTCCTTGTAATGTGCGCTTTAGGTTTACGGGCGGACATTTCCTCGCTGCGTTTACTTCAAAAGTCTCGGCAAATTACGTGGATCGAACGTGGAACCACTAACGAGGATAATTCTTTGCGAGTGTGAGAGAATAGTATGAAAATAGTGCCAGTCGCTCGCTACGTGCGGGCTGCCGTTAGTGCTCGGGTATTAATCGAAGAAGAGTGGGGCGACGGGAGAGACGCTCATTGCGATAACCCTGGAATTATTTCTTCTGTAAGCATGAACGTAAGTAGAAGAGTGCGTTACTCCGAAATAAAAGTATGATCGTCTCTCTCACTCTTTCTCTCTCCATGTACATCTCCACTTATACATCTATATATAGATATACCGCGAGTATATACTTACACACATGTGTCAGCAATGTCGCCGTCTACCGATGTTACGGATGACAGAACGTACTGAGCCGTATGGAAAGCTCGTAGGTTACTTTTTCAAAATGTCGCCGCTTTTCGGCAAGACCGCGTTAATGCTCACGGCTGTCGTTTATCACTGTTATGTAAAAGGAGCCCAGCATAAACTTGCTCGATTCTTTCGCCCAAGGTTAATATATCCACGTGCGTTTTCGGTCTATAAAATAGTTGTGTTGTTGTTCGAGTCGTCGCAGAGCGTAAGAATGTTTAAGGTTGTCGTTTGGAGTTGGCAGGGAGACTTTCTTTTTTCTTTTTTTTTTCATTGATTGATTCAGTCGTGTGCACGTAGGACTGCATACATATGTAGTCAGAGACACGTTGAAAATACTGTATATGTATACTGGGCTGGCAGTCCCGTAACTGCATCAATAACCTGAACGACGACGGCGACTCGGAAATTGAAATTTCAAAGCGCCACGATTCATGGAGTATTTCAGATACGGCATTGCGTCCAGAGGTTCACGGCCTGTGCTCCCGGTGGTTCTATAATTAAAGAAGCGAAGAAAAAAAAGAAGGAGAGGAGAATCAAAGGGAAAAATGTGTTGGCGATAAAGGGGTATAAAGGGT